GCTTACGGAACAGTCGAAAGAAACATGTACTTAATTCATAAAACATCCCAATTTCCCTCATCTTTTCGGAACATTTCTGATATTCACTTAGGAATATTCCATAATTCCTCGAAATTCCTTAAAATTTCTTGTAATTTTCCTGAAATTAGGGACTATGACTACCTGAATATCTTTAATATGAAGGTCTCTGATCTTCCCGATTTTTTAATTTTTTAAAGTTATCGACACTGCCCATAGAACTTCCCATAAAATTTTCTCACTATGTTCTAAAGTTCATGTAACTTCCGTTACGTTTCCTAAATTTGCATGAGCCCCTCAGGACATTGCTGAAGTTTTCGGAAATTGCCTGAGTTTCTCGGAACTTCTTTATAATTTTAGCAATTTCATTGAAATTAATTGATCCATCATTATGTTCTCTGAGCTTCATTGAAGTTCCTGAAAACCATTAAATTTCCCTGAAGCTCTTTGGACTTGTGAAGTTTAAAAACATATGTATGATGTTTCCTTAAGTTCACTGGAGTTCGCTGGACTTTTCTGAAATTTCCGGGTTTTAGAATTTTAACAGAAGTTAATGAAACTGTCTTTAATTTATCGGAACTAACACAAAAGTCTGGACTTTTCTGAAGTTTCAGAACTACTAAAATGATCCTGCAGCAAGTGTGGATCCGCAATAAAAATCTGATAGCATCCTTGAAGTTCCGGAAAAGTTGAAAAAAAAAAAACTGGCGGGAGAAGATGAAAGAATCATTATAGCGAAGGCTGAAGAAGCTTTCCAGGTAAGGTAGAAGAAAATTCCATGGAAAGTTGGATTAAACTTCAGGAAGTTAAAAAATTAATAGAAACTTCCGGAAGTTAAATAATGTTTAAAAAATATGTCTCGATTCCCTAAAAATTACTGGAAAGAGCCATCGACTATTTTTCGATTGATGGGTAGCCAATCATAAGAAGGAAATACAAAGATTAGTGGAAAGAGTATCAAGCATAAGGCATCTTTAGAGATGATTTTTTAGAATTTTGAAGGCTAAAAAAATACGAGGTATTCAAAAAGATACAAGTTACTCACAAAAATTTTCTCCGAAATTCGATCGCGGGCAGGCAATAATAATTTTGGTTATTTAAAAAGAAAAATCGGTATAAAATCTCAATAATCGGTATTCTGAGGAAACTTATCTGTATATCGGTATCTAGTTCGGAAATCGGTATATCTGGCAACACTGACTTAAACAGAGACCCTGAGTTCGGTAAAAAAAATACCGTCTTAGATCGGTAACGCTCAAAATCACAGATGTTTCGGTATTTTCTCGCTTTATTGCTGAAAACTGTATATGAAATTACCGAATTTCAGTAATTTCATTTTAATTTAAAGAAAACGGTAAACATTTTTACCGGCGGTCTGTAAATCAGCTTCATCACTGACTTCGGTGAAATATTTTACTGAAGTTTCGGTAAACAAAGCGTTCTATTAATGAGTTCGGTAACGGTCTCGGTAAACGTCAAATCCACCATATTGTGATTTTCGATCGACTGTTAAGCAACGATGAGCGAATCGTAGATATTTTCCGTTATCTAAATAAATACCGATTACAGATGGCCGATGTTGTTGCTTTTTTTTTCTGTCGGTCCATGTTCCATTGCCGTTGGCAACGATCTGAAAACAACATTTGGAATCTTCATCCAATGCTTCCCTGTTTTCAGTGTAGCGCCGAATCCATCCGACAAAAACTTGTTTTTGTTCATTGGTGGAGCAATTTGCTCATTGATCACAACTGCAGCCAAATGTTTGCATGGGTTGCAGTGACCGCCACCTTGAAACAATATTAAAGCAAATTACAGTTGAGTCGGCTACCTTTTTTAAAATATTACAGATTTCTCGGTAAATTCGACTAAAAATCAAGCAATGTATATCGGTAAACGTTACCGATTGTTCGGTAAATTTGACAGCTAATTTTGTTGATCCAGTTTACAGATTTTTCGGTAATGTTCTCGATTACCGAAAACATTACCGACCGTTCAGCTGTTGAGAATTCGGTAAATTAATTACCGAAGTCGGTGATTTTTTCTGAGTGTGTAGTTTGTAGACAGAGGGCACATTGTTTTTTATATTTTTCCTTGAAAATTTAGGCTTTTGTACACAAATATCAAAACATCAGTGTTTTTTTTTTTCGTTTTTGAGATATACCACAGACAAACAGACATAACACATTGCATATTTCTCACCGTAAAACATCACCGCCATCTGTTGAATACACTGTGGTGGGTAGTACGCTGAATAGATCGTGGTAGTGTGTAAGCGTCAAACGCAAGGGAATTGACTATGCGCGCCACAGGTGGTGGTACTACCAACTACGATACTTTTAAATGGACCGTGAAATGCTTGTTCCATGAACAACTTGCGAGTGTTATGTCTGAATGTCTGTGGTTATTTTTTTTCTAATTTATCAAGTTTTGAGGTTTCGCTCAAATAAATATAGATCAAATCAAATAGGTATAGATTATGTGACTATGTAACCTATGTATCCAGACTTGCAATTTTCTTTTCTTTATTTAGGAGATTTTTAGTCGTAGGCTGGTTCATCTCCGAAAGCCGCTGAAGGGGACTCCCCTAGTAACGTACATAGTTTAGAATTTTTCGGTGAACACTGAGAGGGTTCTCCTGGGTATAGGTGTGCTTAGGGTGTTCCCTTGGTACATAGTGGTTTTTACAGAGTTTGTTAACTTTGTTTGAGTCGAGATAGGACCTGTTGTTCCCGTCGACTCGTAGCGTCCTTCCATTTGAAGATGTCGTCCTTTATTTTCCTTAAGAAAGGTCCCCACTCTTGGTACCAGGCGTCTTGAAGGGTTGTTTTCACCCATGTTTTTATGTCTAAACTGGGAACAGAAACAGATGCGGTAGTCATCCGACCGGTGCGCCCAGTGGCGGCGAGATGGTCCGCTTCGCAGTTACCGCGTATACCACAATGGCCGGGTACCCAGACAAATGAGGTGTTCGGTGGTGCGGTCTTTTGTATGCCTTGGATCCAGGGATGTTTTGATGTTGCTGAATTCAAGCGAAGACAACAAATCAAGAAGACTGGCAACTTTGCCAGAATCCAAGTGACATATAAAATGGCGCTGCACTTGAGTGAAGGTGGAAGCAACGCCTAGAAAAATGAGCAAATACACAAACCCTTCTTCTGAGGATGTAATATTTGCTATCAAATTCGTTCGAAGCATTTAGCTTTGAGCGGCAGATGACGCGATTGTACCTTTCTCATAGCGTTCGTATATGAGAAAATGGAAGAGTTGCCAGTCTTCTTGATTTGTTGTCTTCGATTCAAGGCACATAAAACGCTAGCAGAATCTGTTAGAACGCAAATGGGTTTATCGGAGGGCGTAGTGATGGCTAAGTAGATGGCCGCGGCCTCCGCCGAGTAGACGGAGCATTGATCGGGAAGTCGAAATAATAAACTGTTGAACGTATCTGCTACTCCGTATCCTACTTTTCCCGCAGCCTTAGAGCCGTCCGTGAAGGCTTGCAATTGTTCATTACAGCTAAAATGTTATTTTTCAGAATTATGAAACTATAAGATACTACAATCAAAATTTTCATTTGTAAGAAGCCCCATTATGGTAAAGTTTGTGTATGACATAGACAATTTGTCAATTTTGCTTTCAGAAGGTCAAAACTAGCGATTTTATGATCGCTGATTGCTCGCTCATCGCGTTGCTCATTGTTACAGCTAATCTTCTTAAAGGTAACAGGCGAGACGCTGGAAGAGGTGCAAATGCTGGCGCCTGGGGCGATCGACACGATTGAAAACTAGATTCAAGGAGTAAAACTGCGAACAACCCACCACAAAACGGAAGTCATTCGATTGCCCGGTGTTGCACGTTTTGAACCCAGACAAGCAGAATGCACGTATATTTAAAGTTGTTTTCGTGATATACAAACATATATACAAACCAACAAATCGTATATAATGCAAAGAAATGGCTTATACGTACAAAAGTAGAGGCCATATACGTGCAAATTATAAATTAATTTTAATTGAGTAGATTTAACATCATATACGATTTAATCTGTAATAACAAGTTCAATTTGAAAAGTCTTACGATGCAATCCGATTTGATTTGTGATACAGTACGACGAAAAAATGAATCATCGCATATGGGTCGGAAATTTGCATTCTATGCGATTTAACTTAAACACAATGCGATGCATGCCATTCTTATATGCGATTGTGACTTAAACTGTAACAATTTACGATACTGTCTGCACATTGTTATACGACTTCTGGTTGTCTGGGAAGGCCGATAATCTCAGATGAACCCTTGAGGTCTAAATAACATTCCGTAACCCTATTAAGTTGAAAATAGCGTGGTTTTAGATCAAACCTGATAAAACTGGTTTTGTTTATTAGTTGATAATGAGAGTTAACTTCAGAGGCCTAACGGGCTAAGTCTAGAGTATTTGTAATATATATCCCAAGCTATATCTTGCATCAACGTCAGAGGCCTTAATAATTAACTTTAAAGATCTTATCTGGAGGTCTTAAGGTCTGTTGAAGTGCAAATGTAACACGGGCGAAGCCTGAAGGCACTGCGAATCATCTGTAGAGACCTTGCAAGTTAATACCTCAATGCACCAAGTTGTGTAGTCTTCTGGGTCTTGTATAAACTCCAGAGATCTTGTAGTTTAAGTTCAGTGAAAGAGTATTTATGTAAGCTCCGAAGGCATTATATCTTGAGATCAAAAGCTGTCTATCGACCCACCATTTGGTGCGGGAAAAAATGATGGTTCCAGTCGAGACCCTTTCGAGACCTGGTAATATATTTTTTGAATGTTTGCTGTTTGAAGCCTAGATAAAATTGTGATATTCGCCAGACATTGAAGCATACCCACACCCAGTCATCATCCGGACGGCGGTTACCAATGACCTTCACTGTGACTTTGACGACTTGCTCAATGCGGTCGAATTATTCAGTATATACCTACTAACTGAAAATTTACCTATTCGCAGGATTGTTGAATGTTGATGCGTTTGGTATACTTGAGATCATCCAAAATCCAGAAGCAAAGTGAAACAACGATTGCAACAGAAGCAGCAGCAGCGATAACAACATCCGCAGTAGAAGAACAACTTCCGCTGTCCTTTTGATGTTACCATCTCTCAATCTTTGATCCCATATTCGAAGGGCTGGCATTGCTGGAAGTAAGGAAGACACGGCAACAAAGTGGATCAACGCGTGCGCCGTGTATGCAAGGATCGAGAGTGTGAGATTGCGAGCGTGAATGACTTTTCCTGTTTCTGTTTGAGTTTGTTTGAGATCTGAACGTGGGCAACCAAGCCAAAGGGTGTGATCTTTCTGTGAGAGCGAGTACCCACCGCCGGCGACCATCGAGTGACAAATAGTGCGAGCTGACGAGTTGAGGACATTTCCATGTAAGCTACAAAACCATCAACCAAGCAACACATCTGCGAGCGTGCGAGTGATGCGAGAGTGGATTATTACGAACGCCCGGAAGATTTGAGCGAGTGCGACAAGTCAATAGTGAAAGAAGTGTGTGGATAAGAGCTATTCTCTGCGGTATTCGGTATTTTGTAATTGTGACTGTTTTTGTACCTACTACTATCTATATAGTTTGTAACAACGCGAGTGCGTGCGTGAGATCGACCTGCCAACAAACATGTCGATGGTTATGGTTCGTATGGAGGAAGCCAACAAGTTGTTGGACTTCTCACAGAAGCTAGACATCGGTCTGCTGGATAGCGTCGTGGATTGCCTGTACAGTAGTACCGGCGAACAGCTGCGGTTGGCCCAAAACATTCTAACCACCTTGAAAGAACATCCAGATGCATGGACCAGAGTTGACAGTATTCTGGAATTCTCGCAGAACCAGCAGACCAAGTTCTACGCCCTGCAGATCCTGGAGGAAGTCATCAAGACCCGCTGGAAAATCCTGCCACGCAACCAGTGCGAGGGAATTAAAAAATATGTGGTTGGATTGATCATTAAAACCTCCCAGGATGCAACTGTAATGGAAGCGAACAAAGTTTATCTAAATAAGTTGAACATTATTCTGGTACAAATTTTGAAACGAGAATGGCCAAACAATTGGGAAACATTCATCAGTGACATTGTGGGAGCGTCGAAAACGAATGAAACCCTCTGCCAAAACAACATGATCATTTTGAAGCTGTTGAGCGAGGAGGTGTTCGACTTCTGTTCAGGCCAGATTACGCAGACCAAAGCTAAACATCTGAAGGACACAATGTGCTCAGAGTTTTCCCAGGTGTTTCAACTGTGTCAATTCGTGTTGGAGAATTCACTGAATGCGCCGCTTATCTCTGCCACCCTAGAAACGTTGCTGAAATTTTTGAACTGGATCCCGCTTGGATATATTTTTGAGACAAAGCTTATCGATATGTTGGTTTGCCGCTTTCTAACGATACCCATGTTCCGGAATATCACGCTAAAATGTCTCTCGGAGATTGCGGGACTGCAGCTGGCCAACTACGGACATATATTCGTAGCCATGTTCAAGCAGACGATGGAACAGTTCGACAACATGATTCCTGCCTGCACCAATATGAATCAGATCTACATGAACGGCTCGGATGACGAGCAGTGCTTCGTACAAAATTTGGCCATGTTCTTGTGTACCTTCCTGCGAGTACATTCGGCACTCGTTGAGAAGCGCGAAACTATGGACACGGTGCTGAAAGCACTTGGCTATCTAGTAATGATCTCGGAAGTCGAAGATGTTGAAATTTTCAAAATCTGTCTAGAGTACTGGAACAGTCTTGCCTCGGAACTGTACAAGGAATCCTATAGTTCTAGCCAGCGCCGTACTTTCTATGCTAAAATTTTATCAAAGGTGCGCTACATTATGATCTCGCGGATGGCTAAGCCCGAGGAAGTGCTCGTGGTCGAGAACGAAAACGGCGAGGTGGTGCGTGAGTTTATGAAAGACACCAATAGTATTAACCTGTACAAGAATATGCGGGAAACGCTTGTCTATCTGACCCATTTGGATTACGCCGACACCGAGCGTATCATGACGGAGAAGCTGTGCCACCAGGTAAATGGTACCGAGTTTTCGTGGAAGAATTTGAACACACTCTGTTGGGCTATCGGGTCCATTTCTGGTGCCTTTTTCGAGGACGACGAAAAGCGGTTCCTGGTCACGGTGATCAAAGAGCTTCTCGGACTCTGCGAACACAAAAAGGGTAAGTTTCAAGACAATGCGCGCATTCTTTGTTTAGCTAATTATCGTTCCTCTCCCACAGGAAAGGATAACAAAGCAATCATAGCATCGAATATCATGTACGTGGTTGGACAGTACCCACGGTTCTTGAGGGCCCACTGGAAGTTCTTGAAGACTGTCGTCAACAAGCTGTTTGAGTTCATGCACGAAACGCACGACGGTGTGCAAGACATGGCATGTGATACCTTCATCAAGATTGCCCTGAAATGCCGGCGACACTTTGTCCAACTCCAGCCCAATGAATCGTGTACCTTTATCGAGGAAATTCTTGCCACCATGAGTACGATCATCTGCGATTTGCAGCCACAACAGGTTTGATTTATTTCCATAAATTTCCTATGATTTTATGAAACAATGTCAAATAACGTTTACCTTTTATTGTCTAGGTTCATACATTCTACGAAGCCGTCGGTTATATGATTTCCGCCCAGGTCGATCAGGTTCAGCAAAACATTCTGATCGAAAAGTACATGATGCTGCCCAATCAGGTATGCTAAAACTTCTGGTCCCAACGTTCCTATTCGTAAAAATTCTCACCATTATCATTCTTCTCCTAGGTCTGGGATGAAATCATCTCGCAAGCGACGAAGAACGTCGACATTCTGAAGGACATGGCAGCTGTGAAACAACTCGGAAGCATCCTGAAGACGAACGTCCGGGCGTGCAAAGCGTTAGGGCACGCGTACGTTTCGCAACTGGGTCGCATCTATCTCGATATGCTGAACGTGTACAAAATCATGTCGGAGAACATTACGCAGGCGATCGCTCTGAATGGCCTTGCCATCAACAACCAACCGCTGATCAAGGCGATGCATGTCGTCAAGAAGGAAACGCTTACCCTCATCTCCGAGTGGGTGTCCAAATCAAACGACTCGCAAATGGTGATGGAGAACTTCATTCCGCCGCTACTGGAAACGGTGTTGTTCGATTATCAGGTAGGATCACCAAACCCCACACAATCCAAATCTCCCATTGGAAACTAACTTTTGCGTTTCACAGCGTACGAAGGTACCGAATGCCCGAGAACCGTTGGTGCTCAGCACGATGGCTTCCATTGTCAACAAGCTGCAAGCCGTAATCACGCCGGAAATCCCGAAGATCTTCGATGCCGTGTTCGACTGCACGCTCGACATGATCAACAAGAACTTCGAGGACTACCCGCAGCACCGGACCAATTTCTACGAACTGTTGCAAGCGGTCAATACGCATTGCTTCAAGGCGTTCCTAAGCATTCCGCCGAACCAGTTCAAATTGGTCTTCGATTCGATAGTGTGGGCTTTCAAGCACACGATGCGCAATGTTGCCGACACTGGATTGAACATTCTGATGCAGGTAAGTGGGTATGGGGGAGGGATCCCTCCTCTCCCCATGGATGGTTCCTCAAAGACCGTGCTGCCGGAAGTTAATCCCCTCGTCCAAGTGAGTGAGTGAGTGCGAGCCTAAGGTATATAGCGCGAAAGTGTCTACTACTAGCAAACGTAAAGAAATGCAATGATTGATTTTTCTTTCAGTCCACAGGAGTACTCAGTCAGCCTCGGGGGGGTTTTGCTGCAGGACAACCGGCAGCAGTGCCCCACCGAATTTCAGTATGGGTTGTGTGTACGTCGTTCGTGCTTGATGGTGTTCCTGGCGATTGAGTATATGTGAGAACGGATGCGAGTTGATATTGAAACAGACATCAAACAAGCGCTATAAGAGCTAGGTTCTGTGATGAAGAACATCGTGATCCATTCGGGTCATGCTTGATTGGTGAGCTCGGACACGGCAACTGATGATGATGATGATGATGATGGTGAATGATTGTGTATACTAATTTTCATTTTTTTGTTCTTTGTGTATGTGCTGTTTTGCTCTGCGGATGAATGTTTACGAGTGTAAGTTAGGTTTCGCATAACAGTAGTGTTCCGATTTTGGCTGGATTGTTTTTGACTTTGAGAACGTCAGAACCTGTTCAAAGCAGATTCGATGTAGTAAAAAGTAGATACATAATTTCGTGGGTTGTAAAAGGTCGTTCAATCTAGCTCATTCACTGTGGCTGTCAAATCCAATACATAACGCACCTACATCACATCGATTTAGGTACGTTGCATTTTGGCACCCACTTTCTGGTTGGTTTACTCCAAAACTGGTGCAAGTTCGATATGAAAATAAATGTTTCAATCAGTTTATAATGTTTTTTCAATGCAATGAGTACTGATTAATTAATGTAGGCAAAATACTGTCCTTCGTGTCCCAATGAACTCACTGGCTGAGAAAAATTGCATTGCTATATTTTTTCTCACGGAAATTATTGCTCAATTATCTTAAAGGCTGAAATTGCACAGAACTCTGTTAGATTGAACGACCGTGTATTTTTTATCGGACCTGGCCACTTAGAAACATGTCCAGTGCAGTTCTTTTAGTATCTATGAACTTCGAAAGATGTCTACAGAACTTTGTGGTTCATACTGCCAACACTGGAAAGCAGTGTTACACCCCTGTATAGAAAGCGACCGTGTTGGATTTTTAGTGAGTTTTGAGACTAGCAAGAAATAAGCACGTTGTAAAAGTCATAAACGTTTTCGATTTATTCTATCGCGGATTATTCCTACCGGTTCCCACATTGGTGACCCCGACGGGATATCGCGGCTCGAAAAGCAACAAAAACGAAAGCAGATCGCTAACAACGCGAATACGAACGTGATAGTGGAATACGCTGCTGTTGTTGCTGGAGTTACAGTAAAGTTTCCAGATTTCTGGAAGAAAGATACCGTGATGTGGTTCGCGCAGGTTGAACCACAGTTTCCTTTGGCCAAAGTTGCCCGAGACCACACCAAGTTCTATTACATCGTCGCGAAGATTGATCAGTCCGTCATATGCCATGTAGCAGACTTGATCACGACTCCGCCGGAGCGAAACAAATGCGAAACCGTCAAGCAGCGTTGATTTCTTGATTCCAAGTGTCAGTGAAAGGCAGATTGGAGCTACTTTTGGGTGCTTGCGATCTCAGGGACATGCGTCCCACTCATCTCTTGACAAAGATGCAGGAACTTGCTTGGGGGCCTGAATGTTACGGACGATTTGATGAAGATGCTGTTCCTTCAGCGAATGTGTCAAAGCTGTTCTCGCCATCAGCGATGGTACCATAGGGAAACTCGCCGAGAAGGCAGACAAAATGCTTGAGTTTCCATCGTCACACGTCGCTGCAGCTTCCACCAGCACCCCCGGAGCAGACGCTGGTACTGAGCTGCAAGGCCAAATTGTGAAATACGCCACATCAAATCATCGAGAGGTACTTCAAGAAGTCGATATCAAGCCGAATGACGAAATATACTGGTTCCACCCAGGGTTACTTCCACTCACTTGCTATAAACAAATGTTTTTCGGAATTATGAAATCATGAAATAGTATAATACTAATTAGTGCTTATAAGTTACAAGAAGAGGTCATGAAGTATATGTTTGACAAATAAAATCTGTCAATATTGCTTTCAGTGCGTCACAATCAGCGATTTTACGACTCGTGAGCGCTCACTCTGAGTGAATAATCAATGTGATTGATATGTGAAATGTGTATGAGTTTTATATCAGTTTGAAAACCAATTCCAATTCAATTGTTTTGTATCAAATAACTGGTCTTTCAGCAATATCATTGGCACTCTAATTTGCTGGATATCCAGTACGTGTTGCTGAATTTCCAGTAAACAGCTGTCACTTTTATGTAGGGTCAATTTGCTGGTCGTTCAGCAAAAATATTTTGCTGTAAGAATTGCTGGTTTTACAGCTCGGCAAAATCCAGCAAAATTTTGCTGATTTCTAGCGATATAAAAATAATGTGTATGTATCGGAAATACGCGTACGTAGTTTCACTTGAATCACTTGTTTTTAATGCCGTTATAAAAGTTGTTTCCATGCGATGATTGTGGAACTTGCTCAATTGGGTTGTTTAATGCATCAACAATTTCAGCTTTTAACACGTTTAACTATGTGGAAGACTCTTAGAAACACGTTAATACTTTATTTTTTACATTTAAATAAGCTACAGCTAAGAAATCGCAAAAACCTTTTTTTAAAACGTTCATTAAATGACATTAGCTTTTATATCATGACGCTTGCGACTTACGGTGTAAAACAGGGCACAATACACGTTAGATAGCAGATCAAAATTTCAGTAGGGACACCACTTTACCACATACGAGACGTCAAATGTAAATTTTTTTCGCCAAGCTCGTAACAACAACATCAGCTGTCTTCATCTTCATTCTTTTTTGATATAAAAGTTTCAAGAGTTTTAATCAGTGTTTAATCCTAAAAATGGAGCCAGGATTTTCCAAAGCGGATGCAAACACGCTCCCGAAGGTGGATTTCTTCATGGTGCAATATTTTCTGACCACTAATGAAAAATTCCGTGACGCTAATAAACGAGGAAAAATCGAAAGGTAAGCCGAGTTTCATATCATCTCGTTCAGCAAATTTATTGGTTTGTTTTCAGGTCATCCAACCCCGATTATTTGAAGTCTTCTATTGGACGGGTTCAGTTAAAAATTGACGGGAATCTATGCACGGTAAAAGCGAAAATTGTGCCGGAGCACAAGATTACTGCTAGGCAGTATTCCGTGGTTGCGATAATAAATACAGCCGATGAAAAAGTTGTTGATATCTTTTGTGAAAGTGACGCACAGGGGTGTAAGGCAGCCGCAGGGGGTTGTAAACATGCCGTAGCGTTTTTATTCTATCTGTATGAAAAATACAGCCAGCCTTCTCCTACTGATTCAATATGTCTCTGGAAAGTGCCGAATCTGTCGAAAGTAGAAGAAAACATAGACAAGTTTGATCTTGCCAAGCATCGTGATTCCGGAGTTTCCAATTCGAATGAAGTAATTAATGGAAGTGGAAGGTTTCTTCAAACATTGCTTAGCAAATGTCCGTCAAGTGCTACTATTAGTGCATTGAAGTATCATCAAGCGTTTCCGAAGGTAGAAGGATATGCTTTGCATTGTCTTTTGATAGACTTCAAAGAAAGTTCCGAAGCAAAACAGAGCTCGAAACGTTTTATTCAGTTCTGCAAACGTACGATGATGGATAGTGTATGTAAAAAAATTGAAACTATCACTACAGGGCAAGATTGTTCCCAGTGGAAGCTGCTAAAATATGGGCGAATAACAGCTTCAAAAATTTTTGAGCTGTCGAGGTGTAAAACTGGCGATGGTTCTCTCGTAAGGTCCGTGCTAGGACAAACAAGTTTTACTAGTGAGGCGATGAAACGAGGGTTACGATTAGAGGACAAAGCAGTAAAAGCAATTAGGATGCGATATCAAAACGTTCGCAGATGCGGACTATTTCTGAGTCCTGATTATCCCGTATTTGGTGCATCCCCAGATGCGATCAACAGTTCAACAGTTTTTGAAATCAAGTGTCCATCGAAAAGCGATAATGTTAAATATTATGTTGATGTGAACGGAAATTTACAAGAGAAAGTAAAATCTCAAATCCATCTTCAGATGATTATGTCAAACCGCAAAAAAGGTGTTTTAGTATTAGTTCTACCGGAATTTGAAAAAAGTCGAAACCCTCTCAAATTTGTAGAGTTCTATGAAATAAATCTAGATGTCGATTATATACAACAGAAAATGACAGACAGCTACAAGTTTTGGAAGACTAATATTTTTAACAAACTGTTTACATCTTTTTGAAAACCTAAGTGATTCAGTTTTAATTTGTTGTCAGTTAGATTAAAGCATTCTAACATGTATCCCAAATAAATTATCTAACCCTTAACCGACCGGACTTTGGCTTACTCTAATGGCTACTGGGGGAAGGGAAGGAGGGGTTGGTATTGATATGAGTGATTTGGTCAGCTTCAGACTGAATGAGATAAAAAAGCTGAAGATAATCGTTTGTTCCATTTGTTTTAACCACTCAGTGTTCAGCCTGGGACATTTATTTGACCCCCATGTTTAACCTAAATATTTAGGTTCTTCCAGAAAGCTTCTCTCTTTGTCTTTTTGTCTGTTCCTACCTAGCTATCTTCCTTCCTCCTTCTGGGCCATGGTTTGGAAGTAGTTGTGTTGTTTCTTGTAGGAAGCGGACAATCAAAACCAAATTAAAAACTTAACAACATTTTTATTTATTTGTTCTACATTAACCAACAATTGCTTTAAGATTTTACGTACATTGAACTTACTTAATAAGTGACCCTTGCAAGTTCACTAATCCAGCTACAATTATAACGATAAAATCTAGGTTGTGTAAAAAGTATGACGGCAGTTCCGCATGAGGTGCGCACATCCTGAACTCCCTGAACCTTCGAATAAGCCGTTCCACGTGTATCCTGACACAAGCTATCTCTTTTGC